CTGCTGCATAGCATTCCATTGTGTGGATGAACTACCTTAATATCCTAGTTCCTCATTGAAGGACAAAGTTTTTACAGTTTTCATACTACAAAATATGACTACCCTATCCTTATATAAATATCTTTGAACATTCTGTAAAGAATATATACATTTTACATGTTGATTATTGCTAAATTGTAATCCTAAAGCTAAATTATTTTTACTGATTTAGACATTCCAAAATAGTGGCTAAATGTACCTGATTATCAAATTTTTCTAGTTTTGTCAACTATAAGAGGAAAGCTTTATCTCATAGTTCTGAGATAAAAAGCTTTATATATAAAGCTTTATCTTTATATATAAAGATGCTGACCATTTTGAGTTTACAGGCTATCAGTATTCTCCCTGTGAATTTTCTTCTTCCTCCTCTTTATTTCCTTTTCAATTTGGTGATTTTTTTTATATAAGCCAAATATTTAGCCATCACTTCAGACCTTCCCTGAGTTTCAGTCCAAAATAGTAATTGAGACATTGAACCTCACATCAGCATATATGATTTTTTGCATAGGATTACAGTTGAATATTTTTCTCTTTTTTTTCTTACAGACTTCATTTCCTCTATAATATAAAGACTGCAGGAGCAAGAATTTTATCTGCTTTGTTCATTATTTTCCTATCATACAGGCCTAAGCACTATGTTATTGTTGAATAAATGAATGAGTGATTAACCTGTATGTATATTAAACATTTTGTAGGTTCCTATTTTTTTATATTTTATTTATTTAAAGATTTATTTATCTATGCATACAAGAATGGTGTGCAGGCCAGAAGTGTAGGGGGTGAGGAGATTCACCAGAGACAGAGTAGGGAGCAGAACAAGTAGATATACTGAAAAACACTGCTGAGGAGAGCACTGGGTGTGACAGAAGAGATCTGCCATGCCATGTGGGCAGCTTTCTGGCCTACCAGGGATTAAACTCTTGCTGGAGTGGCTGGCAATTGCTTAATAGTGTCTTTAACTCCTGTGCTACCAGGAAAGCTTCTTTTTTAAAATTGTCGTGGTATTTTTACTCCAATGAAAACTGAGTTTTTTCCACAAATTTAGCAATCCTTTTCCTTTATGATATCTGAAACTTCCTCACTTCAGCTTTATAAATAAATTACCTTAACCTCCTTTGAAAACTTATGGTTCCATCTTTTGGGTTCAAATTTTAGATCTCCTTTAAATTTATTTTGACATTAAAAATAAACTATAGGCCCTCCCTGGTGGCGCAGTGGGCTAGAGCACAGCACTAAGAAGCTTAAGCCACTTCCGCATGAGTTTGATCCCCGCCTGCCCTGGAGGAGATCCACGTGGCATGGCAGACCTCTCCTGACCCGCCCGCTGCTCCCCTCAGCAGTGTACTTCGTAGATCTGCCTGTTCTGCTCCCCACTCTGTCCCTGGTGAATCCTCTCACCCTCTGCATCTCTGGCCTGTACTCCAGTTCTGTATGAATAAATAAATAAATAAATCTTAAAATAAATAAATAAAAAATAATAAACTTTAGTTGTCATGTCCATCATCATTCATTAAGCTATCTCCCTTGTGTGGATTTAGCACAACAGGTTTCATGTACATTTCAATGGGTTGGGTCTTTTTTTTAAAGACTCAATCAACTTGCTTAGCTACTGTAATGTCATTATCTTTTAGTATTTGATGAAGCTGATTCTAATCTTTTTCAGGGTGTTTTCATGAGAACATTTCCAGATAAATATCAGGACCATTTTGACAAGGCTGAAAAATTATCTTAAAGTGGTTTTGAAGGAATTAGTTATAATATCCATGTTTATACATAACATACATATTCTATAGCTTTTTCAATTTTTACCTCATATCCAGAAACAATGAGAATTTAGTTTTTCAGAGTTCATGTGATTATACCTAGAATGAACTGAATACCAAAAGTAGCACCTTGGAAAAATGGGTTAATGTATTTGAGAAGGGTTGGTATCATTCAATAAAAAAAATTGTTTATATTTGAGCACTGGTTGGATATGTTCTGCTAGAACTTTTGAGTGTAAATTGGTTGTATACTTAGATGGGGTTGTTTCTACATAAGTATGATGAACTGCTGATGAGTTAACCTTAATCTTAACTGCATTTTTGGATGCATCTTGCAGAAGCTTGGAAGAAAATCTAAGCTCTAGTCTATTTTGCTACCAGTGAGCATTTAACTCTTGACAAATTAGTTAAATGGAAGTCTCTGATCCTCTTGTCTTCATCTGTAAGACAAGCATACTGATGCTTATTCATTCAAATAATACTGATTTACCTGCTTACCTCTGAGAATTGTAAGAAGCAAATAATAGCATTCAGGGAAAATTTTTCTTTGAAAATGTTAAGGTCTTTTGGTTAAATATTGTACTTTCATAACATTTTATCTTTTATTCCTAATCCCTCTTTTCTCAGAGCCCACTTTACAGTCAAGAATAAAGGCTTTTTTTGTTTGTTTGTTTGTTTTGTTGTTGTTGCTTGTTTTTTAAAGCATAAACCCATAAGAAACAAAGAACAGGCTAGGAACTACAGCAAAAAGAAAAAAAAAAGAAAGAGAAGAAAAAGATATCAGTAACTTTTTGAAAGCTTAGAGCAGGGAAAGCCAGCACTCATTTCCAAGAAGTAATAAGAAGCAAGTTGATGCAATCTTTCTTTTTAATGGAAGTAACATTGTATATTAACTTTATATGCGTTGAAACGTGTAGGCATCACTGAGAAGCAACATGAATATATATTACATTGAGATCACAGTAAAGCATCCAAGTCTACCCTTGTCCATACTGTCTCCCTGTCCTGATTTAACTTCCTCTCCCCCTTCCCTGGGGTAACACCAAGTGAAGCCATAGTCCAAAAGTTTATTTTTGTTTTAGTTTATCTGTTTTTTCAATGCACCACATATGTGTAAATCAAACAGTGTCTTCCTCTGATTACTTCCTCTGATTACTTTACTGTGAATATTACCTCTAGGTTTGTCCATGCTGCCGCATAGCAGGATTTCATCATTTATATATATATATATATATGTATATACATTTATATGTGTGTATATATATGTACACATATGAAAAATAGTCTTCCTACCTTCTCTCCAAACTCTTGTTTCTTGTCTTTTGTATAATACTTATTCTCACAGGTATGAGGTGATACCTCATTGTGGTTCTGACACACAATTTTCTAATGATAAATGATGATGGGATCTTTTTATTTTTTCTTAAAGATTTATTTTCTTTATTTATGCATTCAAGAGTTGTGAGGGGTGATGAGAGGATTTACCAAAGACAGAGTGGGGAGTAGAATAGGCAGCTTCACTGAAATACTTTGCTGAGGGGAGCAGGAGGCGAGACAGAGGTCTGCCACACCTTGTAGGTCACTTCCCTGGCCAGGGATCAAACTCCTGCTGCAGTGGCTGCTGATTGTGCTGAGGCTTAATTCCTTGTACCACCAGGGAGGCCCAGGATGTTTTTTAACTTTAATGTAAGTTTCCTTTAACATGCACACATTTTTAGTTTGATATTTTTCCATTTGTTTTAATTTCCCTTGCCACTAAAAATTAAAATCAAGAACCCAAACGCACCTCTAAGACTGATGTCAAAGAATATATCCTTGGTTTCTTCTATGTATTTTACAGTTTCAGATCTTACATCCCAGTCTTAATCCAGTTTTAATTAATTTTTGAGGTTGCCCCATTTTCCCAATACCATTTATTAAAATGATTTTCCTTGCCCTATTGTAAACTCTTATTGTTTTGTTGTGAAAAACGCAACCAGTTTTTATGTTAACTTTGTAGCCTGCCAATTTACTGTATTCACCAATTTTTATTGAATACAATAGTCTTTTACTGGACCCTTTGAGATTTTCTATATATATTATGTCATGTGAAAATATTTATAGTTGTATTTCCTCCCTTCCAATGTAGATAACTTTCATATCTGTTTTCATTGCTCTAACTAGGATTTGTAGCACTATAGAGAATAGTATTGGTGCAAGTCAACATTCTTGTCTTGTTTCTAATCTTGAAGAAACAGCGTGAAGGTTTTTTTCATTGAGTATGATGTTGACTATGTATTCATGTTATATGGGCTTTATTATGTAGATAAATGTTTTTTTCTATATCCCTTTTTAAAAATCATTAAAGGGTGTTAAATATTTTCAAATGCTTTTGTTATCTATTGAGATAATTATGATTTTTTGTTTACCCCACTATTGATGCAGTAGATCATCATGTATTGCTTTGTATTTATTGAAACATACTTGTATCCCTGGAATACACCTCTATTGATCTTGGGGGTGCTGTTGATTTTGAATACTCTAATGTGCTGTTGATTTTGAGTTTCTACTACTTTGTTAAGGATTTTTGATCTATGTTCAGAGATATTGCCCAATAGCTTATTTTTGCTATCCCAATTTTGGTTTCAGAATCAGGGTTATGTTGACTTCAAGGATGAGTTTGGAAAATTTCTCTCATTTTTAGTATTTTGAGAAGGATAGATATTAGAGGTCACTAGCCAATAATAGTGAACAATTACTATCCAGGGTGGAGAATGTTTTACCAATAGAATTATACAACAGAATAGAGTCCAATGTTTACTTGGAAGTGGCTATGAATTTTTAGTGTAAGAAATGCTACAGAAATATCAAGAAGTGTCATTCTTTAAGCAGCAAATTGATTTATTTTGTTTGTAAAATTCAGGTGAGTTTGACTTATATTGTGATTTGTTCCTGTATTTTGTACCTATTCTAGTATCTTAGTCTTGCATGTTGCCCTTTTAAATATCACATTTTTACACTCAATACTATTGGTTGATTAAAGCAGAATTACTTTTGTCACACAGTTAAATAAAATAATTTCACATAGAAATGATTTTTAAGTAATAGATTCAAAAAATGAGTTATTGTACCAACTAGTTAAATACATAATTTATTCACTTATCTTTTGTATTAGCATGTTAATTAAAAACCGTATTTTAAAACTTTTATTCTTCCTAGAGTGAGTTACTGGAATTTAAACGACAACAAGAAGAGGAAGAGAGAATCAAAACTCACCAGTCTGAACAGAGGAGGTACAAATGGCCAATAAAGTCAGCATCATTGGTTAAATCAATTACCTATACATATCTGTAATGCTTATGAAAATAATAGTCTTAAAATTCAGTCTTAAAATCTATATTATCTTTTTTATTTTTATATTATGGGGTGTGGTGTGTGTGAGGATGTCAGTTGCAACATATACATACATATATAATATAAATATATATACACACACACACATATATACACTCTCTGTGCAAATTCACACTAAAAACAAAAAACCGACCCATGGTTCCAAGCTATGTGTTTATTTAGGTTATATATATATATATTTTTTAAAGATT